AAACATCCCACGCCCAAGCATAAGCAAATAAATCTTAAATAAATTCATTTTTCAATCGTCGAACCCTGTTCTACTGCTCTGATCGCATCTGTTTGAGGCCACACTTGTTTTGTTTAAATAACATTGAAAAGTGTTCAGTGTGTTCACATATCTATAACAAAATCTATGTCAACGTGAAAAAATGCCAACTCATTAAAAGAGCCCAGCCATATAAAGTAGAGATATCAGACACACAAGTCAAATTATAAGCAACAGTTATTAGTAGTATTAAATATTATGATAACAATTAGTAGTAGTATTAATGATATAATAAAAGTAATAATATATTACAAGGTTGCTTCAATTACCTCTTCTAAGTTGGGTGGTCTCTTTTTTTTATGTTTGTTTTTTAAAGTTAAGCGCATAGCTACACAATGGACTATCTGTGCTCTACACACCACGGTTATAGAAACCCGATTTCTAGCGTTGTAAATCCGCAGACATACCGCTGTGCCACTGTGGGGGAGGGGGGGCTCTCTTTTTTTTATAACTTGGCGTTTTTCTTTTTTTTTTAAAACTTGTCGTTCAGTGTCTCTAGTTTTGACTGTTATATATCAAACTCTAGATCAACCAACGATAGAACACATTTCGTGTATAGCTACTACTGGTCTCTATTTGGGAAGAGGCTGATTTCGTTTTCTCTCCAAACAAGCCACATCATTCAGCTAGTGGGGCCCAAGTTTTGAAACACGTGTCTTGCATGCAATATGAAATGTAACTCATGGTTAAGGTCACAGTATAATATTTTAGAGAGTGTCGCAGATGCAATCCTTTCCTAGGACACATTTGTTTCTTAATTTTTTGGTTTTGTTTTTAAAACATGAGTAAATAGTTAACACAAGTAATATAAACATCACAATAGGCGCAAATGAGCGAAATATTGTGGAATCTTGAATGTCGCGCAATTTAGATACGATATTTCAAAAGTCACCTACATTTTTATTGTAAAATACGGCAGAAGAAGAAAAAAGTGAAGTATACTTTCACCTTAAATTGATGATTTAATTTTCTTACTGTATGATAGATATTTATTTTATTATTATTATTACATTTAATCTCAGAATGTTTCAGATTACATAGGAAAAGTGGAGTGGTGTTTCTGGCCAGTACCCCAAAAACAGCAGAATTACCAGTGCTGTATAGAAAGTAACTGGTATTAATGTAATTTTTTATATAATCTGGACGTCGGAAGTACAGAATAAAACATTCAGTATTACAGGGTAGTTCACAACATGCAAGAAAGCCCATATTATTAACAGCTTAGAAAAAATGTTTATTGGCCAGTATCAGCATAGTTAGATTGATAACTTGAGACTTTTCCTGAAGAAAACAAGTATTTCAGAAAGTTTAATGGTAGAAATATTGAGCTAGTATGTTTTTATCGTCTACATGACTATAATATTTCTCATTCTTTAAAAAAACGAATTCATAAATGATGTGTTATAATTCTACCTGTTTTAGTGATATAGAAAGTATAAAATGTTTCTATTATTTCGTTTCTGTGCTGTGATTGTGGCAGCACGTGGTCCAAAAAGCCGTTAAGATTAACTTGTTCTAGTTGCCTTGTTTATTTGTTCTCTGTAGTAAGTAAAATCTATTCTGTCTGAGAGGATATTGCAGTAACTAATAGCATCTGAACTATAGTGTCAATACTTTGTTAGCCGAGTTTAACGTTAAATAAATGTAAAAGCCGACCAATGCTATGACAGAACAAAGATCATGAAGCGAGTTTACCTCCCGGAGCACTTTCTTTGAACAGTTCTATATGGAGGTCAACGAGTGAAGATATACATCAATAACAAAAATTAATCTTGATAGTGAGAAGGCTTTGAAGCTAAACAAAGCGTCATAGAAAGTAATGTTATCTTTTTTTCTGTCTGTTCTATAATAAATATTAGATTGCACTCATTTTTACTAACTTTGTCCAGTCTTATTATTTTATACACACTAAGAAGACACAGTTAATTTATCAAAGTTAATTATTCTTATTTCTTTAACGAATGTGCTTTTATTTACGGGTTTACCTAACTGACACTTGTAGGGAATCAGTTTTGTCTGAACTTCTACAATATCAGTAAAACTAACAGCAGTTCAGTAGGTTCACATATACCTTGAAAATGTGAAGTACATAAAAAGGATAAAATTAGACACCATTAAGTTATTCAAAACATTTGGGTTGGGAAAAGAAAATAAAGTTTGAAAAAGAACTTTTACTAAATGAATAAGTGGGCAACTTAAAATCAGAAGAAATTTCACTTGAACTAGACAGTACCAAACGAAACTTCAGAGTTTGAAAACGAGAACATTACAGTATTTTAGGTTTCACATTCAAATTAGATCGTTAGATATGGGGGAAATGCTGTCAAAATATGTTTGTAAATTATAAAATCAAATTCGAGTACTCATCTTTTACGATTTCAAAAAAAGGAAAAATTAAATCTTTGCAATAGAGAGATTTGTTTTAGTACACTAAAGTTTCGAGAAGTTCAGTTATTTTCTTTTCACAAAAACAAGGTATAATAAGTTTATTTCCAAAACCGTACAAGTGAAACATATGCTAAAAGAGTAGAGTTATAATCCATCAACCAACTTTTAGATCTTGAAAAAAGTTTTTTCCAATTTAAAATGTTTTGCTTTAGTTATTGATTATATAGAGTAGAGATTTTGATTTGTGGTAAATTTTATTTTTAATTAACTTAAATTCAGGAATTATTGTGCATTTTTCTCGTAATGCTTTTAAATAGATATACTGTAGATACATATTAAACTGATCTTCTGGAAAAAAATCAAGAATGAGGAATACATTTAACATATACAAATATGTTGAAAAATATAATAAAAGATTAACTTGAGTTCATTGCATAAGGTATTTCAAAGATAAAATACGATTTTTAAGTTTAAAGTTTTTTCCTCAGTACAATAAAAAACAAAGACATTCGACTTCAAGTATAAAACTTTTATCATTTCTGGAAATACACAAATGCGGCATTGTGCTCAAGTGTGTTATTGGTGTTGTACAAATTCAATGTGTGAGGCTTGTTTCTCTTTCTCTCTCTCTCTTCTTTTTTTTTTAAGCTAAAATGTACGTCTTTAGAATAAATAAATAAAATTTCATCCAAGAGGCAATATTTGGACCTCTTCTAGTAATTCGATATCATTTTTATACTTTGATGAAAAGCTGGATATTCACACGTTAAATCATTTGCAAAGAAACTCGATTATTCATTAATATTGAAATGTGGGTATTTCAGAATTGAAAAGTAGGTATTTTTTTAGGTTGAGTATTTAAAAATATGTACGTTCTTAAAAGGCTTAACTCAATTACAACGAGAAAGTGTTATAAAGACATTACAATTATGGGGGTTTTAGTCTTTTTTTTAACTCACTTTATAGTAAACTAAATTAAATTAGGGGTGTGAATAATATTACGGAATTACACCTAATTTATTATATATTTGATATTATACGTCACAGATCATATTTTCTATTCAACCTTAAATGAAAAGAAAAGAAATCTATATTTAACAAGCCATTAGTTTCATGAATTTCACACTCTAATACAAAAATACGGATGAATCCCATTTGCTTTAACATAACATTAATGGACAATAAGAGACCTTTTAGTCCATCTTGGATGTCCTATTCACTAATTAAACTAAATCCTTAAGAAAAAAAAACAATCTCGTGCCCCCCATAATTCAAACAGTTATCAAGCTTTCCCTTAAACTACCTTTAATTAACTACATCAACCACATCTGAAGACAACCCGTTCCAAAGACCAACCGCCCTGTTAGAAAAAAAAAACTGTCTTAGCTGAAGATGACTCCTACCCTGCCAAACTTTATATTTGTGTCCCCTAATTTTACCATTCTCACCATTATATATCAAAAAGATGATGCATTAACATTACGAATGCCTTTAACAACATTAAACCTTAGTTAGATCCCCTCTAACTCTTCTTTTCTCAAGAGAAAATAAATTCAGAGGCTTTAACCTATCCTCATATTATAACTTTTCTATCCCAGGTATCATCCTAGTAGCCATCCTCTGAACTTTTTCCATCAATTCAATACCCTTTCTGGGGTAAGAAGATCAAGACTGAACACAATGCTTCAAATATGGTCTGACCAGTGCCATATACAATGACATTTTAAACTCTTTAAAATTGTATTCAATATCTCTGTAAATATAACCTAAAATCCTATTTGCCCTGCTACTAGTAACAACACAATTCTTTGCAAGGTTAATAACGTATTAAAGCTTAATATAATCTGTATATTCTTTTTTGAAAGTCAGACGATACATAATTCAAAATAATTGCCTTTCTGAATAATCAAAGCCTAGCAAAATTTATCTTGTCACTATGCTGTTATTGTTTAGCACAAAATTACATAATGACTCCACCACTTAATTAATGTTAAGACCGGCAGGAAATTTCCGTATACGGTACACTAAAGAAAATTAAATGCACCAGACTTATGAAGTATATTTTATACAAAAATGATAATCATTAAAAAGGTTCAAATGTAAAATTGAAGTGTGAGTATTTATTCGGTTCGGTGTTTTAAAATATGCACAGTCTTAAAAGGATTTACTCAAATAGAACGAGAGAGTGCTTGCAAGCTATTTAGATATAAACTTGTATGTCAGCTTCTTTGTTTACTTTTGGAAGATTATTTTGCAACGTCAATATTATAAATTATCTATCTGGTCAGGATATTTTTTGTTTTCTTTAATAAAAATCCCTTTGTGGGTCAGCGGTAAGTTTACAGATTTTCAACGCTAAAATCCGGGTTCGATACACCGTGGTGGATAGTGCTCAGATAGCCAATTGTGTAGCTTGAACCTAAAACGAAACAGACCAATCAAATAAAAGCGCTAAAAAATAAAAACAACTTTAATAAAAAATGTTGAAAATAAAACGAACGAGGACGCCACCATCGATGCATGTGGCAGTTATTTTAAAATTAAAGTTGCGGACTGTGTGGTTTAAAATGTCGTTTCTTTATATTCGCAATATTATGTGTGTTTAATAAATAACCCATTAAAATTATGTCTTTACACGGCTCCTTGTGGTGGTTGTAATTACTCTGTTTTAAACGTGATGCGAAAACTATGTTTTGCGATTTTGTATCATTCAGGTTCCTCAGCCTTAAGCCATTAACGGTTAACTTAAGGTATAGTCAAAAATGAAAAAAAAAAAAATTGACTATATAGTGTGAACTGGAGTGGGAGAATCAGCGAAGACGAAATCAAGGTCAACTAAACGTGAGGTATCAGTACCGGTACGCCAGTGTCTGGAATTTAATAGAAAAGTACTTGGCTTTGTGTTATCAGGAACCTGAGACTGAGGGCAAGGAAGAAAAACACAAGTCACTTATAACTATATATTAAATGATAAGTTATAGTTATACATGTAAGTAGTACAAAAAACTTTAAAAGGTGCATGGAACTTAGCTCTACTAGTAAGAAGGGCTAGCACTAGCAGTTTATACTTATCTGTTAGTGTTATCACAATATCAACCTATTACTTAGTAAGTTAGTTTTACTTTTACTATTAATATTAGTAGTAGTACTAGTAGAGCTATGTAAAACTTAAAAGAAATATATTTTCAGTGTTATTTTTAGTGTACAATACATAAAACCAGAACTTGAAAGTTGCAGTAGAACATAGAAGTGAAAGGGATTTTCTTATTCTAACACAATTTACAGCAGTTAATTTGTAAGTACATTTAATTTTAATCTTATTACAATGTAACTATATATATATATGTGTGTGTGTTATTTATTATTATTATTATCATTCTTATAAAGTATGGGACATCAGTGGATGATCAACAAGAATGTCAGAATCTGATCACTGAATCCAGCCCATTTTTAAATTAAGTAGTGGTCATAAAAATGTTTTGTATGATTTTGTTATTTGTACCAACTTTTTATATCTGTATATAAATGTAAAATTCTAGATTAATTTCAATGTATGTTCTATAGATATATAAAATACTATTCTGTATTCATTTAACATAGTTTTTTTTTCACCTGCCTTATTTACATAGTAAAGAAACACATTTATTTTAAAATTTTAACAAAATTATGAACAGTGTTATTGTACCCATTGTTTATTAAAGCAAAAATGTATGTATTTATACCTTATTTTGGCATGAATGATTAAATGTAACTTCTAAGTTGTATTTATAAGGGTTAGTTAAAAATACATAACAGATTTAACAAAATCAGTAAATACAGTTGCAGATATTCAAGGTTATATAAGTTTAGCATAATTTCTAATTTGATACAAAGATCTGTATTCTGTTTGCATTTTTTTACCAGGATGCTCTCTGTTTCAAGTGTTTTGATGCTTATCCAAACAATATCAAACTTAAAGATAGAGAGCTTCGCAGTAGTAATGCCATATGATGTAGACCTTCCTCCTGAGCACATGGCCTTTTACTTTAATAATAATCCATTAGCTGCTGATGCTTGTAGAAAGAATGATGATTGTCCTTACAAGGTAAGAAAATATGTGATTATTTTATTAATGTAATCCTTAATTTAGATTAGGTGATGGTAGACAATCTTGAGGCCCTCAGTTCAATCATTTGTCACTTTTATATTGTTAGAAAAATGGACTTGAAATTTAAGGGTATTGTGTTTTCTTTGTTAAATGTTATACTAATAAAACTTTTTAAGAGATGCAATGTCACAAAATTTGAAAACATTGATATGTAAAAAGCCATACACTATAGATTTTTATTGTAAAATAAGAAGTATGGATACAGATACACAATGTAGTGCAGTGCTATAGTTCAAACAGACTGTAATGCTATCTATTTGTTAAGACAGAAAAAAAAGGAATGCATATAGTTATGTGTTGCCTTATTTAATGAAACAAAGAAAATTATGTGAACTTGTGCAATTGACTAGTATGGATTGACTTATTTGAGTAACAAGTATATGCAATTTTTTGAGCAGGAGTGGTTTTTAGAAAGGAAATTCTCATTTTTGTAAGTTGATTTAATGTTTTTGTTGGGATTAAAAGGGTTATTTTGGTCTTCTACAATGTAGAAAGTAAAAAATGGAACATTAAAACCTTGAGACCATAAAAATATTTTTCAAAACTTAAAATTGTAAAGTTTGTACATTTTAGACTTAAAGCTACAGAACATTTTTTACTTTGTACACCATGACTAGTGTACGTTTGCAGCTAAACTGTTGTAAATGCTATATTAAATAATAGATAGCAACATGTCATAGAGACCTTTGATAAGAGACATCACTGTTGGAGACCATAACACTTGCAATATGTGATGAGCTGGAGATGAAATGTAACTGCATATTTCTCATTGATAGTTATAATAACTTATGAATCATTAAAAAATGATCAATTTTTTATAGTTCACTACTTTATTATACACATATATATAATTTAAGGACAACAAGGGAGTGTTGGTCCAGCTAGGCTGTTCCATCCACAAACCTAAACTTTAAAAATAGAAATAAAACGCACTAAATCAACCCATATCATACAAATATTTATCAATCCTTCCCTTAAAAAATACCTTTAAATTAACTTATCCACCACATTTGAAGGCAATCCATTCCAAAGGTCAACCACCCTGTTAGAAAAATAAAACTGTTTTAACCGAAGATGACTCCTACCCTTCCAAAATTTGTGTGTTCCCTCATCTTACCATTCTCACAATTGAATATGAAAAAAAGATAATGCATCATTTCCTTTAACAATGTTAAACACAACAATCAAATCCCCTCTAACTCTTTATTTTTAAAAGAAAACTATTTTGGAGATTTATAACCTGCCCTTATATGACAACTTTTCCATCCCAGGTATCCTTCTAGTAGCCCTCATTTGAACCCTTTCCCACAATTCAGGGTCCTTCCTAAGGTAAGACATCCAAGACTAAACACAATACTCCAAATATGGCCTAACCAATGATTTATACAGTGAACTTATAATCTTTTAAGACTTGTATTTAATATTTCTGTAGATACAATGGAATGACCTACTGACCCCTGCCACTACTTGGATGGCTTAAGAGACTGATCAATTAGAACACCAAAATCATTTTCTTTCATAACACTGTTAAGATTATTCCCATCAGAATTATACCCATAATTATTATAATTAGTAGCCATCTTCCATTTATTCGCTCAACTTACCAAATGAACTAAGTTCTTTTTTAAAGTGGCAGGATTCTCCTTACAGTCAGAAACACACAAAACCTTAATATCATAAGCAAATTTAAGTAACTAATTGACCATTCCTTTATCTATGCAATTGATGTAAATCAATAAGAGCAAAGGTCCTAACACCTGAGGTACCCCACTTATGACATTTATCTGGTTTGACTGAACTCCATTTATAACAACCCTCTGCTCTCTTCCATGCAGCTACTTTTCTGTCAAATGAGCTAACCTGTGGCCCACACCTATAAATATAATTTTTGTAAGAAGCCTTTTATGTGGCACCTTGTCAAATGCTTTCTGAAAATCCAGATACTCCAGATTCTCATCTTTACCCTCATCTATATTAGAAGCAACCTCTTACAAGAATGTCAAAAAATTAGTAACGTTAGTTTTCCATAGTGAAACCATGTTGACTATCCTATAAAATTCTAAAGTTTGTTAAATTACTTTGTAAAGCATCATTTATCAGACTTTCAAAAACCTTACCCACCAAACTAACAGACCTATAATTACTGGAACAGTTTTTATAAACTCCCTTGAAAAGAGGAGTAATATTAGACAACTTCCAATCTTTTGACACTTGCCCACTATTCAAGGACTTCCAAAAAACAGTAGCAAGTGGTTCACATATCCAATCCTTAACCCCTTTCAAAACCCGTGGGGAAATATTATTTGGCCCAGGAGCTCTATCATTCTTTAAACTTTCCAATATTTTCTGAACCTGCTCTGAGTTAAGGTAATCATCTTGTTTCCATCTAGCAATAGTTCCAAGGAATAGTTAAACTTGTATTCTGAAATAAAACTAATAATGATAATAATAATATAAACATGTCCATAATAATTGTTGTTTTAATTTTATTAAAGATTGAATAATTTTGGTCAAGTTATTAGAGCTGGGTGAATTAATCAATTTATAATTATAATAAATTACCTATAAGCAATGATTACATATATCTGTGTCTCAAAAACTAACTGATTAATGGATTAATGTCACAAAAATAATCCACTAAACAAAATTCGTGTTTTTGATTATTCCTATAATTGATTAATCAAGATTATGATCAAATCAATTGTTATTAAAATAATCAACTAATCAAATAAAAACATAATAAAAAACAGCCAGACAAATGCCCTTACACTACTATTTGGTATGGAAAAGAAACATTAGATGTCAATGTATTTATTTGATTGGGCTATTAATTACCACAAAAGTTTGTTTGAGATTTTCTGAATTCAATACAGCTAGAGCATAACAATCCAATTAAGGCCTCAGCCAAAAGCAAATTATTTCTAAAACAATATAACAAAATGGGTGTCAGTTGAAAGTTGTCATAGTAAATTATTGTGTCTTGGATTTTTCCAGACATTAACAATGTGTCTGGACTGGAGGATTGTTTTAATCAAAGTTAGTGTCTTTAGGAGTCTTGCAGCTCTTACAATATAGACTTTAACAGAATTGATTCTTCATTGTTTAGAAGATAGCATTATCTTCTAAAAGATGTTTTCAATGTCATTGATGTCTAAAATAATTAAGAATGCAAGTGGTATGACTATAAGAAACAATTTTATAAAAACATTTTGAAAACAGGCATCTTGTTTATCAATACTATAATTCTGTTAAGTATCCTCCAAAATAATTATAACTACTTAATTTTCATTTAAATGTTTGAAATGTTTTTTTTCTAAATGTTCTTATTTTCACATTATTAGAAATAAAGATAAGTTTTGGAATCGCCAGATTATAACATGATTGACCTAATCATTTACAGAATATATTTGTGTTGTTTTATCTTTGTTTTACTTATTTAGGTTACTTTAGGACTATATGAAAAACAAAATACTATTTTTGTTATAGTGGAAGTCTCTTTTTTGTAAAAAACACTGAAAATTTGATTAGTGTTTCACAGCTGACTTTGAAAAAGTTAACTGGTATCATACCATCTTCATAAAAGTGAAATGTTACTGTACCTATTGTGGAGAAGTTAAAAATTTTTGTTAGAAGTTAACACAGTAATACAATATTATTGGAATAAACTTTCTAGTTTTATTCTTATTTATTCCGATACTGTACTTCCTTACATTCACAAGATTAGCTATTCTTGTCCAGTGCTGCCCTCTATATGCCAACCTTTTTTTTTTTTTACGCATGCCACAAGCCTTCTGCTTATAGACTAAGTGGTTGTGACTATATAACCATAAAGGGTATATAGTGGAAATTTCTAAAGTGAAATTATCACTGGCTATTGTAATAATAGAGCAGAGAAGAAATAATTCATCTTGTCAATTGTGTTCTAAAGTAGCTGACCAAGATTGTGTGGACTTTGATGAAAAGAGGTGATTATTTAAAGCTCTGGATACAACAGGGATAATTAACTGTATAACAAATATTTGTATATATATATATATGACTTGATTTAATACATTTTTTTACAACAAGTGGACTGTGTGTTGTTTATTTGTTGTTGAAATTTATTGCCAATAAAACAGAGACACCTACCATAAAGAATCTGACCCACACATACCAGTGTTGTAGGTCTGAAGACAAGTTTCGGTCTCTAGACCACCCTTCACAAGGTTTTGGTCTCAATTCTGCTGGTCTTAGTCTTGATGTTTTACAGGTTTTGAAAATGAGACTGGCTAAAAGTTTTAACAGTATTTTTTCCATCACCTACCTAAGGTTATTAAGCTCTAAATGTTGATTACACAGAAGTTCATACAAAGAGTGGTGCACCATCAAATATGTTTTACAAATAAAATCCCCTTGGTAGTACACCTTTAGAATGATGTTTATAGTGCTTCCCTTATTTTTGTTTAAGTCACTAACTGCCATATTGCCTGTATTGCCAATCTGCAGTTATAACACACACTGTTCAAAACCAACTGCTACTATACATTGTATTACATGTATTTACATCAAATGTTAGCAATTATCCTTGATATTCAACATGTCTAGTAGATCTGCTGTGTAGATCCTGTTTCATTTCAAAGATCATAACAAATTTACTGACACCAATACTACTTTTAGTTTTATTTGTTATTATTAGGCTTTTGTTTCATAGGAGGAGGCATTAAAACAAAGACTGTGGGGTTAACATGTAAAACATTTGTCGTTAAGATGTTAATAAGGTTTGTGATTCATATGATTTTTATTCTTCTTGCTTTATTTTTGATTGTGTAATTTATTACAAGGTCTTGGTCTCATATCTGTCTTGAAATTGAGGTCTTGACTACAACAGTGACGCATACATAAAAACCATACAATGTTATACCTATAGCTATGTGTTATGTGTTACTTGAGTGCTTTGT